ACCCCCACGGAGACACAGGGTAACAGTTAGGTCACGAGAGAGTGAAACATGTTATTATAAAGAAAAGTGACTCATGGGTCGGGCGGAGTCTGTTGGTTATCATGTTTGTTTCCTCCATCCGGTAGATCTGATGATCTGGCAGCTGCAGGAGGAAGTGGGGGTTCCCAGGACCACCTCCTGTGATCCGCCCCCGCCCTCCCAGCTCCTGCGTCCCCTTCATCTCCAGGTTAGAGCACACCCCGAGATTCTCCAGGGATGAAGAGGGCCCCGAGAAAGGCCGGGAGTAAACTTAACTACATTTGGGGAAATCCTTTGAGGCTTCTCTCAACACATCTGTGATCTAAACGACTGACAAACCCCAAAATGAATCCTTGGAAGCGCCACTTACTTTCAAGGAACCTCTTTTTTTTCCATTTTGATTGTTCCTGCGAGTTTCAGCTCTTCACCATCTCTTGCTTGTTATATGTTAACTTTCTTCACTTTGTCCATTTTTCTCTGTCATTCCACCTTACACACTGAGGACAGACATTTCCCCCTAAAATATAAGCCACATCACATCTCCCTCCAACTCACAAATGTCCACATACCCCTGTGGGCCTTTGCAGACTCTCCAGCATCAAGCACCAACTGCATTTTCTGCTTCTGCTGAACAGTACGCTCCCATTATCGACAACTTCATTGCCATCCCTGAGCCAGCATATACTTCAAACTCAGATATTTTCCCGTGTCCCTTCGCCTTGGAAAGGCTGCCCTCCTCCTTAGGCCTGCCCGCCACGCGTCACAGTGCAAACAGCCGCTCCTCACACGCGTCCTTCCCTCCCGCCGCTCCACACCGGGACTCCCTGCATTTCTTCCTCTGGTTTCTACAGCACGTTGTTTGTGCATCTACCCAGAACACCTTAACCTCTGCCCCATCCGCAAAAGACGCTGTCAGGGTGCAGTGGGAACAACATAGACCTGACATCAGAAATTAGACCCGAGGAATCACTTCATAATGTCTGCATGTATTCAGTCATCACCTTGTACTCTGAGGTTTTGTGGCTTAATAGCAAAAGTGGCCTTGGCATGTTTGTGTTCTCTCAGCTATATAATCTCAAATTTTTAAAATGTTATAGCACGGTGATTAATTACAGTGTTTCTTAAAGGGGCTTCTCAATTTTTAACTTTAGCATCCACTGGAGTTTCTCCTCTATGTTTAATGTTTTCCTTGAGGCCAAAATGCTGTTTTATATAAGTTTTCCAAAAATATTGATTAACCTTAAAGAGGGGGAAACATTTTTATCAGAGCACATATTTGAACTCAACTCTTGGAGCACAATTGTGTCATCTGCACTCCCTCTCCCAAGAAGACATACAAATGCCCAAAAGCCATATGAAAAGATGCTCAGCATCACTAACCATCAAGGAAATGCCAATCAAAACCACAAGACAGCATCTCGCACCTTGTAGGGTGGCTAATATAAAAAAGACAAATAATAACCAGTGTGGGCAAGGGTGTGGAGAAACTGGAAAGTTTGTTCATAGGAATGCAAATGGTGAAGGCCCTGTGAAAAAACCTATGAAGCATCCTTAAGAAATTAAAAATAAAACTACCGTATGATCCAGCAACCCCACTTCCTGGTATTTATCCAAAGAAATCATTATCGGGATCTCAAAGATTGTTCAGCAATAACCAAAATATGGAAACAATCCATATATTCATTGACAATAAATAAAGAAAATGTGGTATAGATACATAAATTATAATGCAGCCTTAAAAAGGAAGGAAATTCTGACACGTGTTACAACATGGATGAACCTTGATGTTACTGTGCTAAGTGAAGTAAGCCAGCCACAGGTGGGTGATTACTGTGTGATCTCACATGATAAATTGAAAGTAGGCAAATCCACAGAAAGAGAGAGTGGAGTGGTGGTTGTCAGGGTTGGAGAAAGAGGAAAATGGGAAGTTGTTGCTCAATAGATATAAAATTTCAGTTATGCTACATGAATAGGTTGGGGGGATCTGCCACACAACTTAGTATCTATAGTTAAGAGTATAATATCGTACACTTTAAAATATGTTAAGAGGATAGATCTCATGTTAAGTGTTCTTAGCATAAAACCAAAAACAAAACCCACAAAAGAACATGAGAAAACTTTTGGAGGTGAAGGATATATTTAGTGTCTTGGTTACAGTGATGGGGTCATGAGCGTTTGCATATGTTTAAACTCAAAATAATGTATACATTAAATATGTGCAATTTTGGCATACCAAATATGCCTCAAAAACACTTTGAAAACAATTAGGACAACCAGCTGTGGGTGTGGAGTGGTCATGTAGTGACCCAGTTCATGTCATCAACCTCATGTTTGCCTCACCCTCACCATCCCGCAACACACCTGCCCAGATCCTCCTCGGACCGGCGCCTAAGGTCTCTCCGTCTGAAGCGGATCCCACAGATCTTTGCCTAACCTGTTCATTCTCAGTGACCCAGGTCTCTCCTCAGAGGGTCAGGCCTCCGTGACATCACACCCCTCCCTCAGCTGCATTTCATTCGTATACTTATTTCTATCCAAATTGCTTGACTTATGTAAGTGCCCGTTGCCCCTTGCCCCTGCCAGAACACACTCCATGAGGTGGATTTCTTCTGTCTCCTTTTCAATTGTGTCGGAAGTGCTTTGAATGAGATGCCTCATGAGCTACATAGTTCTGGAGGAATTCACAGAAACGCAACGCACTGTAACTCAAGAACCTGAAAACTTGATCAGCTTTTAGAGCCTTGAACTAGTCAGACAGTAGCCATCACTGATTAATCATCTTTGTTCCTGCATTGTGTCCTCTTATCTTCACATCCAAACCTAGGATGTGGCAACATTCTTACCCCACTTCGGACATGAAGACACTGTGTCAGGAAGAACAAGGAACTTGTTCAGGATTGCAGGAAAAGCAGGACCGAGCTTCACCCGGCTTCCTGCCTTCCTGGGTGGGCTATGCATCAGAAACTACGCATTTCCCCTTCTCTGCTTGTATGATCTCCGAGCGATGCTGCTAACCTGCCTTCCCGAGTTCACTAATGCACGAAGTGCTCTAAACAGAAATCACCCATATTTTACTTACTGGGCGTAAAACACCTCTCATCACCAATTAATCCATGTATCCAACTCTGAGACCCATTTTAATACTTAATATTGCATTTTCCAAGCTCATACAGCACTTACGGAAAAGTAACCAGATAACCCTGTGAACTTCCTGGGCCTGTGCTGAGCAGAAAGTACACCTGAGATAATCATCAGTCATCATTATCAATACAAGTTAATCACTTTGCTTAGCCTTGTCAGTGCCTGAATGCTGTTGGATCGGCTACCTTGAGGTCTGTGGGAGTGAAGGACTAAGAAAAGGCCAGGCCTGGGGAGGCCTCATTCATAGAAGCAACTATGAGACCTCCTGAGGCAAAGTCCTCCTCTTCTCACATCTGCCTGGATTTCAAAGCAGAACTGAAATCCAGCAAACAGGCTTCTCCAGAAAGTGAGGCACAGGACCCTAAGCAGGTTTTGAAGAAACTGCTTCTCGACCAGGCTTCCGGAATGAATTAAGTTTGAGAACCGAGGTTCCACTGTACAGCCAAAAAAAAAAAAAAAGAAAACAGGATCTCAAAGAGAGATCTGCACTCCTGTGTTCGTTACAGCATTAGTCACAATAGTGAAGACGTGGAAACAACCGAAGCGTCCGTCAACAGATGAATAGATAGAGATGTGACTCATCTCTATCTCTATCTCATCTAGATCTATGTAATGAAATATTACTCAGCCAAGAGAAAGAAGGAAATCCTGCCACTTGTGACAACATGAGTGGACCTTGAGGAAATTAGGCAAAGTGAGATAAGTCAGAGAGAGACAAATACTGTTTGATCTCATCTATATTTGGAATTTAAAGCAGGTGAACTTGTAGAAACAGAGAGAGAATGGTGGTTAACTGGAGCTGGGCATGGGGGAAATGGGGAGATGTTGTTAAAAGTATAAAGCTGCAACTGAAAGATAAGTCCCAGAGATCTCATGTACAACGAAGCGATTATAGAAAACAGTACTGCATCGTAAACTTCAAAGTTGCTAAGAGACTAGATCTTAATTGTTTCCACCAGACCAAAAAAATTATAGTTATGTGATGTGTTACAGGTCTTTGCTAACGCTATGGTGGTAATCATATTACAATATATAAATGTATCAAATTGACATACTCTATACCTTAAACTTATAAAGTGCTGTAATATGTCAATTTAAAAAATAGTCTTGTTAAATGACATAACAAGACTGTCTGGAAGGATCAGGGAAAGTGGGTAGGGAGTGTGAAGATAACAGAGATTAAGAAAGATGTAAAAAGAATAGCAGATTGAGAAAGATGTAAAAAGAATAGTGCCGGTTATCTTTATCTGTTCTAAAACGTCCAAAGCCTTTGCAAAGGACAGAGGTAAAAGGCGCCAATCAAAGGCACTACTTAAGCCAAAGCAATTGAGTGCATTACTTTGCATCCATAATTTCAGCAACCTGACTGGCTGTTCTAATGCCACCCCCTTAAAGCCGGGGCATGGGAAGATCATCGCTATAGCCAAATGAGGACACAGAAATGCAGAGAGATTCAAGTGACCGTAGTCTAGGGGTGCTACATAGCATACAGGACGCACAGTTCAATTTGAACTCCAGATAAACAAAGATTTTTTTTAGTATAAGTATGACCCATGCAATAATGCTCCAAATATTGCCTGTGGCATGCTTATACAAAAAAAATGTTTATGTATCTGAAATTCAAATCTGCTATGGCACCTCGTATTTTTATTTTCTAAATCTGGCAACCTACCGTGGTTCCAAAGCAAGGCAAGAGAAGGAGCTGTGTGTTCGCAGAGGGTGCTGTCTTCAGGTTCGGCTTCTTAAGCACAAGTGCCCCCACCCCCTTCCGAGTGTGTGGGCCCAGCCACCTCCCTGCTCTTTTTCCCCCAAGGGGTACAGTGCCCGGCGTCAGGACTCACCTGAGTTCTCTCAGGAGACAGTTTCCCATCCTCTCAACCAGACTCGGCTCCTCAGCTGCTGAGTTTCATTCCACTTTGGTTCGTTTTGACCAAAGCAACAAAGGGCACCACATGGGGCAGGATGTGACATCTGACCACTGGCCTGTGCTCCCACCAACCACCAGCTGCCAGGGGATGGGCATGTTAGAGAAGGAAGGAACCTGTTGGAGGAGGAAGGAGCTGCTGTGAAGGGGAGGGCGGGAGAAAGGCCAGCTTTTTCCATTGTGTGTGTGAACATCAGGCAGAAGCACGTGAGAAAAGATCTAACACGCTAGAGTCGCTTGGCTTTCGAGGAAATCCCAGGATTGCAGGATCATACAGGTCAGGGAATTTCCTATTCCTGAGAAATCTGCTGTCAAGGCTCCCAATATTCTCTTCCAAACACCCAAGAAGAAAGCCTCTTGTAAGAAAAAGAAAATCTCTGTTCCTCCAGCCATAAAAGTCAAATTCTATGTAATGTCTTTCCTCAGAGGTAGGACACTTCAGAAGGCTAGACTGCAAAGAAAGAGACGAATATGGCAATGGGAGGGTCTTGCTGCTGTCCGAGGTAGGCCACAGAGCAATTATTCTTCCTGTTTTTCCAAGGTTAAGGTCGCAAGGGGAAGGACAGGGCTGGCAGGCCCATCGGCCCCATCTGGTCCCCACTTCCTCCCCTGCGCCCATCAGGGCGGCAGAGCGCAAGCTGGCGGTGGCGATAAGGCCGGTGAGGAGCCGCCTGCTCACTCGGCCCCTTCTCCTGGGGAAGTCAAGCACCCTGTTCATTACCTTATCTTGCGCCCAGCTTCGTGCAGAACAGGTGCCTGGTTTTCTTCCGTTTTCATCCTAAATTTATTCATAAATATCCATATGGGCCCATGATGTATTTTCCTTAAGACAAAAGCCAAACAAATGAAACTTATTTCCTAGCTTTGAAAAGGCCTAGAAGCAGTGACTAACCCTGTAGCAATAAGCACCAGGACTATGGTCTCTAAGTACAAATTTCCCCAACGAGGAACCAGGGTTCCTTTAACAAAATAAGGCAGGAGTAGCGATACGTATATTGACTGGTGTGCTCAGGGCCGCACCTGGAAGCCCATCTGGACTTGTCTAAGCCCCGCTCTTCTGGCGGTGCTCTTCCCAGTATGTTTGGACATTAGTTCTTTGCATTTATATCAGTTGCTAAAAACTGCCGGTCGACTAAATATTTAGACTCACTATCATGAGAACCATCAGAGGAGGCAGCCACTATAGCAACAGGCACCCCAGTATCAGGACAGGCAACTGGAACCCCACTATCGCAACAGGCACCCAAGTATCACAACAGGGGTCTCAACATCATGATGGGGACCCCAATATCACGATAGGCATCCCAATATCACAACATGCACCCCAATATCATGATGGGCTGGCGCTATTGTGGTAGTGCCCTAGTATCATGACAGGGATCCCCTATCGTGACAGGAACCTCACTATCATGACATGCACCCCAGTATCACAACAAGGACCTCAACATCATGAAGGGACCCTCATATCATGATGCCCCACATTATAATAGGAACCCCCATATTGTGACAAGGACCCCATATTGCAACAGGGACTTCTTATTTTGACAGACTCCCTAACATCACAACAGGGACCCCAACATCGTGACAGGGAATCCCTATCATGACAGGCACTCCACTAGCGTAACAGGGAGCCACTATCCCAGCAGGAGGCCCCCATATCGTGACAGGGACCCTGCTATCATGACAGAGGACCCTGCTATTATGACAGGGACCCCAATATCATGACAGGCACCCCTCTATCATGACAGGCACCCATTATTGAGAGAGGCACCTATTATTGGGAGAGGCATTTACTATCACAAGAGGCAACTATTATACTATTATTGTGAGAGGCGGCTACAGGGCCCAACTGCGTCCAACAAGCATCTACACGGCCATTTCTGTTATAGGTAATAATAATAAGGAGGGAAATACAATATGGTCTCAAATGGAAAGAGCTGTTTTTTCTTTGTTCTTTTTGTTGGTTTTGTTCATTGGATTCCACATGTGAGTGGAGTCACGGGGTGCTTGTCTCTCTCCAGCTTATTTCGCTGGCATGGTGCCCTCCAGGTCCATCCATGGTGCTGTGGGGAGGGATTTCCTTCCTTTTTATAGCCGAGTGGTGTTCCATTGTGTAAATGTGCCTAATTGGGGTTTAACCCAACATTTATTTATTTGTTATATTTATGTATAGCAAAAAGTTTGTAAGAAAACGCAGAAGGGGCAAGAAGGTTTCCAACGGGTGGGGTAATTTCTCCCTCCCTGGCAAAAGCTGCATGGCTGGGAAAGTTCTGCCTGAGAAAGATGGTTTCTGCCTTATGGGGGAAAGACTCAGCACATGGATCCCGAAGGTGTCCCCTCTGCTGTCTCCCCAAGGAGCTCAGGCAACTCTAGTCCACTCTGCCCTCCCAATTCTGGAGCCCAAGGAGCATGGCTGCAAGTTAAATTTAGTGTGTTGGCCCTTGAAGGGGGTTCCCGCATATCTAGCCATCTGTCCCTGCCAGACAGAACGTCCTGTGCCAGATGCTATGTGGGGAGCTTTCTCAGCTCTGGTGCTCTGGGCTGGGGAGCCCGGTTTGAGGTTTAGAAACTCAGACTTCTCCGGGGTACCACCCCCTACCCCCAGCTGAGATATCAATCTGGACCTTCAGCTGTGGCCTGTGGGAGCCTGGCCAGCCCTCTCGGGCCTCCTGACTTGCTACTGTTGTAGGTGGTGAGAATGGCACCAAGTGTTAGACTGATGGGGTCACACTGGACCTGGGCTCAGCAACCTTGGTACTTGAGTTCTGGCTAAGAAAGAATTCAGAGCCAAGACCCAAACTATAAGAGAACATTTATTTATAAGATCACAGAGGTAGAAATAATTCGTAGAGGAAATGGGCTGTGGAAATTAGTTATAAGAGGCAGAGGCCCTTGGAGCTTGGGAGTGAGGAAGGTAATGGTAATGGGCCTTGGCTGGGGAGAGAGGGAGGGGGAGGGAGAGGGG